GAAGCAGGAGTTTTTCTGGAGGACTGGGAGATGCAGGCAGATCAGAGACAGGACAGGAAGATGGGAAAATACAAACCAAGAAACAAAGTTCTTAAAAAAATAAAATGTAGGTGGATTGATCTCACTACACGTTTGTACCTGTATAAAGCAATAATTTATCAGCATGTAGTATTTATATAGTTGATACAATTCAGATCATCTTCAAAACTCCGTCCCATGCCCAGGGACGTATCTAAGCATTTTGGGGGCTGAGGCAAAATAGCCCCTGCCAGGTATTTGAAGTTGAAGTGCTATCTGTTTTTATATTAGACTTTTTATATTTGTAATAAAGTCCAAAAGTGAAGAATTTATGTTATTTATTACTTGATTGTTCAAGCTACCTCACAGAAGTGATCTGTTGTTAAAAATTAGAATAAAAAGGTAATTAAATAAAAATAAGGAACATTCTGGAACTGTTTCTTCCTTTTCTTTCTTTGTTTTAATGTATCGAAAGTATCGGATCGGGACTCGGTATCGGCAGATTCTCAAAATCAAATGACTCGGACTCGAGGGCAAAAAAACCCTGATCGGGACATCCCTAGCCAATACCGATATCCAATATTAGGATCGCAGTTGTGGCCGATAACCGATATTTGCCTATACCGATATACTGACATTAATGCGTCTAAAATCAGCAGATTTTGTATAGAATGAAAATTATTTACGCTGAATTTACGTTGTTATGTACACACACCACACACATTTACGCTTCAGAGATGATTACAATCACTGTCAAGTGACTAAACAAAAACACATCACCCCCCCACCCTCTGAAACAGATAAACAAATGGAAACAAGTTGGAAAAAATATCGGTTGTTAATATCGGCCCAGTTTTACTTATCGTACCGATACTGATATGTTAAAAAATGACCAACATCTGTCGATGCCGATATTGATGCCGATATATCGTGCATCCCTAGTTCACAGCGATCGCTTTCTAACAGGAAAGAGATTACAGAGTGCGTTATTAAACAGTTGCTTAGAAACATAAAAACGACAGGTTAACAGTTTGATACACGTGTCCTCACTGTAAATAGCTTACAGAGTGCTAATGTTTTTAGCAGTTAGATTAGTGTTGTAACATGGTGTTTATACCTAATTAAAATCAGACCAATGTTTCAGAAATTAGGATTTAAAAGGCATAAAAATTTAGTTACAAGTAGATCCTATCACATACTCATATGTTTTATAGTAGAGCAAAACACTTCCTGTCCCCCATTTGAGTTTTGCGCGACTGCAGAGTCACGTGAGTGAAACCCAGCAATACACAGTAAATAGAGCTTGTTTTTACCTTCTTTTTTTTTTTTGCGGACATGTTTTCACTTTAGCCTTCATCAGAGCACCGCCGATGTTGGTGTCGTCACTTTCGTCTCCGTTTATCTCCAGAACATAATAACAGAAGAACGAGACCGCGGACAAGAAGACCAACACATACAGACTCAGGCAATAAATAAACGAAAACAACAAGTGACAATGAAAAGAAAAGATGAACCAAAAACCTGAGGAAATGAGCCAAACCCTGTAATAACCCTTCCATACATCAAAGGCATAACAGAAAAGATAAAATCAGCGATGAAACAACACAACATAAACACGCCAATTATAAGATCGTTAGACAAAGACAAAGGTAAAAACAAGCTCTAGATAGATGGCAAGCTCTAGATGCCAGGTTCCTGACTGGGACCAGGAAACGGGACCACATCAGTCCGGTTCTGGCCTCCCTGCACTGGCTTCCGATTTGCTATCGCTCACAATTCAAAATCCTCGTCTTTGTTTATCATTTCTTCCAGGGTGGTGCTCCCCCCTATCTAGCCTCACTCCTGAACAAACATTCCCCATCACGCACTCTGCGCTCCTCTGACCAAGGCCTGCTCGCTGTCCCTCGGTCTAGGTGTCGTACCCGTGGGGACCGGGCTTTCTCAGTCCTAGCACCGTCACTCTGGAACCAGTTGCCACCCTCAGTTAGGCTGTCCCCTTCTCTGCCAGTCTTTAAGAATCACCTAAAAACACACCTCCTCCGCTTGGCGTTTCCAGAACATGTTTGATTTTGGCCCTCTATTATGTTGAATCCATTCCACAGTTTTCATTGGTACACTCAATCCATCCACTCAATCCAAATGTGTTTCACACATTTGTCCTTTACCAGAATGTTTCATCTAGCTTGTAATTTCCATTTTGTATTTTGTAATTTGTATTTTGTAATTTGAATTTCTTTTATTGTTGATTTATTCAATATATTTACATACAACTGTACCATGTTCAGCGCTTTGGGCTTCCTGACAGGGTTGCGGAAGGCGCTTTATAAATAAAGCTTTGATTGATTGATTGATTGATTGAGCTCTATTTGCTCTGTGTTCAGTAAATAACTGGAAAAGAAACACAGAAGAAAGATTATCAAAAAATGTTTTTATTCACGAGAGGCTGAAGTTTGTGAGTTTTGTTTACTTCTCTTCTGTTTTTTCTAGTGGGGCGCATCGTTTTTCAGCTTTTCTCAGATGTTTGTCCCCGGACAAGCAAAAACTTTCTCTCTCTGTGCACTGGTGAGTAGTATTCAGTCAAGTGAATGCTCCCATCTATTACGGATCCTTTACATTTGGCAAATTGTATTTTCATAGAATCCGAAAATCAGAGGCTTTGACAACAATCGTGTACTGGGTATCAGTAGGGATACGTTTAATCCAGAGGGTCATGATGCAATTTTATCTTAGTACATTGAACCCTCCCACTATCCTAGGGGCAGGGGTGAGATGGTGCTCACTCCTCACCCCTGCCACGTGAACCTCAAGGGATAAACCATCAACCCTGCTCAATGGTCACCTTTCCTGGAGGGGTCACCCGATAGGATAAGTGGGAGGGTTAAACCAAAATAACAACTTTACCTCCAATAGCTAGGTTACCGTTTGGTTCCATATGGAGGCAAAGCTAGTGTCTACAGCAGGGTATCTGCAGGTCCTTAAAAAGTCTTAAATTTGCTTTTCCAAATTTAAGGCCTTAAAAATCATTAAAAATGACAAATAATCCTTAAATGCAATTTCTAAAGGTCTTAAATTACCAAAGACCCAATAAACAAGATTCTTTATTTCTATAAAATTTTCATGAATTTCTAGTTGGTGTTAAGCATTTTTGGTGTATGATATTAACAAAAGCGGAACCGTACACATTCAGTTGGTTGTGAAAGGGCCTACTTTTAGATGAGCACATTAGCTGGTTAAGCTAGCGGGAGCTTGCGCCATGGGGAAGTGCAAGTTTAATGGTAACTGGATGGCTAAACCTACAATCGCGACGTGGTTAGCACTGGTTCCAGGCAATAGCTGGAAATTATAGCTTAAATTTAATGTATAAAAAATTGCTTAAATTTGGTCAAAGTGGCCTTAAAAAGTCTTAAATTTGGCTCCCTTAAACCTGCAGATACCCTGTACAGGCAGGCAGAACATTGTTCTGGTTCATTTTAAAATTGATCCAGAGTTGTTTGTGTCTCAGTGCATTGTTATGTTCAGTAATTAAATAAGATGGAGGGAATAAAGATTTGAATTTCATTCATTCCAGAAATCAGCAAATATAATCAAACCATTGATCAGTGTTCCTGCCACTACAGCAAAGAAAGCTCAACTTCCTTTTGGAACAAGTAGAAATCAGCCTAATGAAAACGGGACGTTTAAGGATAGAACGGGCATTTATAGTTCTTCAGTCCAGCTGGGGACTGTAGTCTTTGTTCCCCCAGAACCTTGAGTTTGGTTTGTTATTGTTCCCGTAATTCCAGGTGAAAGGGGAACTGGGAAAGTCACAGGGAAAAAACTGTGCTACAAAGGCTCCACCTTTCACAGAGTCGTGAAGAACTTCATGATCCAGGGAGGCGACTTCACTGAAGGTTAAAAACACTCTGAACTTATTTACTTGAATGGGAATCTGACTGAATTTGACATTTGAATCTAAAATATGTTTGTAGATACCTTCAAATGTTTCACCAAATCAATATATCTTCCAGAGATATAAAATGAGGTTTAAAAATTAACCTTTTAAAAATTGTTCGTCATCAGCATTTATTTTTCTAAATGATGTTTGTTAAGCCTCATTTAGTCAGATTTAATGCAGATTCATATTTTGTATTTGTTATAATTTGTCACTGATTGCAGGAACTGGAAGGGGAGGAGAATCCATATATGGTGGCTACTTTAAAGGTATTTAATACTTTTATCAAATAAGTAGAATAAATAAATCTCTAATAAACATGTTTCTTTTCTATGGTACTGTCCAAACGTAATGCTGCATGAGCTTCTACTTTATCCTTTTTTCTTGTGTCTTTGTTTTTTTTTTATAGCTGATATAATTTTGTATGGAGGGCTGATCTTGCCAAAAATGACAAGAAATAAATGAGGAAATTAATAAAGACAGGAAAACTGTTAAATTGACATAGTTATAAATAATTAAAAAAAACAGCTTCAGTGTTTCCCCTAGCCTTTTGGATTATGTGCGTTGTCTGTGAAAGAATTTTTTTGGGGGGGGGTCTCGTGAAAAGGATCTGCGCAGAGTCAGGAAGTTCGTGTTAATTTCTTGACACTGATTCTCATGACCAATCATGTTTTGGCTAGTGATAGAAACGTCCACCTCATGACTACACACACACACACACACACACACACACACACACACACATGTAAAAAAAACATGAGGAAAAGGACGAAATGTAAATGAACATGTGGACCAAAATTATTACATTCATTCATTTATGTATTTAGTTTCTCTCATAAATCCAATTTTCTGTTTTGTTTTCTCATTTATTTGTTTAGTTTTATTTTCTAATTTATTTATTCTTCAAAATAATTCATGTATTTAGTTTTATTTCCCTTTTTTTCCCTCATTTATTTTATTTATTTTCAATTATTTGAAACTTTAATCAAGTATTTATTTATATTTTTATTCAGCCATTCATTTAATTACTTTCAGTTTTATTTCCTCGTTTATTTAGTTCCTCATAACTGATAGTCTATTTTGGCAGCATCGGTCCTCCGTATCTGTGTACCTTTAGAGGTGTTTAGTTGTGAACTTTTATCAGATCAGCATGGGAAGAAGCGATTCTCTACTGAAAGCTAAAACTTTCAACATATTCTCTTATTTATAGAGTGGTCTTTTGCAAAATGAGAAGGTAAGAGATGTGCACAGTTCAGTAACACCATGGCAACATAGTCCCCACCACCTTCCCCAGTCCATACCAGTGCTGAAAGGGTTCCCTCCCAGTCAGACGTTTGAGCTGCTGAAGTCTTGGTTAACATGACTCTGTTTGTCTTTGTAACAAAGAAACTGGATGTTTTAATGCTTTTATTTGAGAAACAGGATTTTTTTATTCACAGATGAATGCAGATTGGGTGAGGATAAATATACAGACCTAAATTTATATAATGAATAAATACGAACCGGATATTCTGAAGCAAAAAATTATGTAAAAAAAAATTTAGATATAAATTATAATTTTCACCTGGATGATTTATTAGTGGCTTATCACCTTTTAATATGCTAACTAATTATAGTTGTTTTATTACATTCTGCTGAAATGACCCTGGTGCTTCATTATAAGCAACAAAATAATATTTAAGCCACTCCTACTTTTAGATTAATAAACTTCTGGAAGAAAATGAAAAAGTGGCGTTACAGAAGAGTTTGAAGGATGGACATATGAACTAATACGCAGTAGAAGAACACACTTCTTCTTCTGTATCTGACAGATGAGAATTTTACTCTCAAACACGACCGACCCTTCCTGTTATCGATGGCCAATCGAGGGAAGGACACCAACGGGTCACAGTTCTTCATGTGAGTCATCATCACTATAAACAGCCACACTATTCCTCTCTCTCTCTCTCTCTGACTCCCACCCTTCCTCTCTTTCTTTCCATCTCTCTCTTCCTCACTCTCACCCCCTCTTTCCCCCCCTCTCTCCCTCACTCCCTTTCCCTTTTTCTTCCCCTCTATCTTTTTCTCTTTCTCTATTTGTTCCTCTCTCCCTCTCTTTGACTCCCCTTCTTCCTCTCTTTCCATCTCTCTTCCTCACTTCTTTTCCCTCTCCTTCTCTTTCCCCTCTTTCTCTCTTTCTTCCTATCTCTATCTCTTTCTCTCTGACTCCCCCTCTCTTCCTCTTTCCATCTTTCTCTCTCGTCCTCATTCCCCCTCTCTCTCTCTTCCTCACTCCTTTTCCCTCTCTCTCTTTCTTCCCCTTTCTCTCTCTCTCTCTCTCTTTCTCTCTCTGTTCCTCTCTCCCTCTCTTTGACTCCCTCCTCTTCCTCTCTTTCCATCTCTCTTCCTCACTCTTTTTCCCTCTCTCTCTGTCTCTCTCTCTCTCTGTCTCTCTCTCTCTCTGTTCACCCCCCTCTCTAGTTAGCTTTCAGTGCAGAGAAACATTGGATTCTTTCTTTTTTACCTACAAATGTGTTACATCTGTTTTCTTGCCGTTTTTGTGTAAAATTTGCAGAAACTCTAGCATCCTGCTCCTCCAAGGTAATGTGTCTCACAGGCTGTGTTTCTCTCTCTCTCTCTCCTGATAGTTTTTTTTTAGATTTCAAACATGCAGCACAGTACAATGTTTATTGCTGATACAGTTTCACTGCACTTGGCTGTATAGACCTACATTTTACCCACAAAAAATATTTATTTTGAGTTTGGATTTTCAATAAATCAAAACTGAAATTGTTTTCAAATCTGAAATAGATCAATCAGTCACACTTTTGACTTTTATTCTGGGAGATTTTCTGTCTGGTGTAGCTGCTTTACGTTATTTTCTTATTCTTCCTTCTTTTGTTTCTCCCGACTCCACCTTTGCCACGTGTCGACCGATCCACAAGCAGCACCACCAAGAAGGCGCCTCACCTTGATGGGTAACAAACCGACATTATCTTTCAAAAACAAAGCAAAAGCACAAGTTGTGAAAAAGTTAAGCTTTTTTTCTCTTCTTTTTGCTTCTTTGCAGAGTCCACGTTGTCTTTGGTCTCATCATCTCTGGCTTCGAGGTGATCACCAAGATCGAAGGGCTGAAGACGGATTCAGCCAGCAGACCGTACGCTGATGTGAGAGTGGTGGACTGTGGACAGCTGATCACAAAGTCTGCAAATGATGGTTCGTCCCGTCGCATCATCATTGTTTCATCTGCAGCCAGTTTTACTTTTAGCGTCTTCCTCTTCTCACAATGATTACAAATCTGCCTTCATCGGCTGTATTATGTATTTTATTTAAACTAATCTGTTGCAAATGTTTTATAAGGGGACTTGATGCTAAACTCATTTACATCTATTAAAAATATTAAATGTCAGTTTTTAGTGATAAACATGCAAAGTTACACCCTCTGCCTTGTTTCCTTTTGTTTACTGTTTGGGGAAAATGGGGTTTTGTGTGGGAAGTTATTGAGGTTAGAGTTTTCCCTCGCAGACTTTAACTGAGGACCAGGACCCCCAACTTAACTTCAAATCAAATTTTATTCATGTAGTACTTCCTACAGACCTCCACGGTAGCCAGAATAATGACGTAATAAGACAGAAATCCTAAAACGACTTAAGAAAACGTTTAGAAGTTTAAAAAATTCTCAGATGAAGGTAAAAAGTGTTTTAAAAAGTATAAACATTAATAAAATCGGGTCAAAATCATGATCCACGTTAAGGTAAAGCTAAGGAGTAAAATGAGTCCCTACGGCAACCCAAATAAAAGAAAACAAAACTTTCATTTGGAAAGACCAAATAAACCCCAAATTTAAACTGACCCTTCTTTTCCAATTTTTACCAAAAATCAGACACTTACTCTTCAAAACGAGCTTATTTTAAATGATTCCATCATCTTTTACTCCCAGTGCTTGAAGGGAAGCGGAAAAGATCCTCCCTTCACTCCGACGACTGTTCCCCCCGTTCCTCCCCTCTGGGAGAGCATGAATCGGACGAAACGCTGAAACAGCCAAAGAAAAAGAAGAGCGCAAAGATTAAACCGCCTAAAAAGAAAAGGAAGGTGGTGAAGAAGAAGATTGTGGATGTTCAGGCGTCCAAGCAAAGGTTCTGACATTCATTTCACGTTTTCTACGATTAACGTTCTCAGTCATCTAAAGGCGTTTGTACGACTCTCCCAGAGCTGCCGGTAATGAGACGGAGGAGGATGAAGCTGAAGAGAAGGAGCAGGGTGGAAAGAGGGAGAAGCCTGTCGTTCGGCCAGAGGAAATCCCCCCCGTGCCAGAGAACCGCTTCCTACTGAGGCGGGACATGCCATCCCAGGAGATCACAACAGAAGTGTCAGTAATCAAAGATGTTCTCACAACGGACACATATTATGGTTAATTAACGGCAGCATTTGGTGAAATGTGACCTGATTGTTTTTGTTTTCAGTCTGGAGAGCGAAGAAGCTGCTCCTTCAGCGGATCAGAAACCAGCTGTGTCGAAGTCTGGCCGAAAGATCAGAGGCAGAGGAACTGTTGTATGATCAGATTTATCGTTTTTAAACACGAATCGTGGTTAAACTGATTTTTAGTCATGAGTCGTTCGTTTATTTTGATTCTTTCCAGCGGTATCACACTCCCACCAGGTCCAAGTCGCGCTCCGTGTCTGTGGAGGAGCGTGGAAGCAGTGAAACGCCACCGCATTGGAAAGAGGAAATGAAGAGAACAAAGAATTATCGACCACCAAGCACGGAGAGATGGAGCAAAGGAGACAAGTAGGACCTTTATTTACCGCTTGAGTTTTAATTATCGGTTTCTCTTTTTGGTTTCTTTCATGCTTCTTTTGACCTAACAGACTGAATGACCGTTCCTCGAGCCGATGGGACGACCGAAGCGACTCTACGTGGTCCCAGTCAGGAGAACGCTCGTCAGACCGCAGCTCCAAGAGGTCCAGTCCGCACAGGCAGCCAAAAAAAGAGAAGAAGAAAGTCAAACAAAAGAAGAAAGCCAAAAAACACAAGCATGGCAAAAAGAATAACTCCAAGAAATCTCAAGAGCTTCACAAGTCGGAAGGTGAAAGGTCTGGGTCTTCAGAGAGGAAGTCAAGAAGATCCTGTTCAGAGACTCGATCTCCTTCATGTCCGCATAACTCGCCGCCCAGGAAAAGGCAGAGGTCCTCCATGTCTTTCTCAAGGTCCTATTCCAGGTCCTGCACGAGCAGCCGATCCAGATCTGGAGGGAGACACAGGTCCTACTCCAGATCTAGAAGCCGTTCAAGGTCAAGAAGTCCATCTGATTCCAGATCCAGATCTCGGTCCTTTTCTCCATCCCAGTCAAGATCAAGATCTAGATCCAGGTACAAATCCAGATCTGGGTCTTTTTCTCACTCCAGATCAAGGTCCCGGTCACAGCACAGATCCAGATTGAAGTCTAGGTCTTCATCTAGAGAAAGGAGTTTGTCCAGATCTCCAAGAAAGAGAAAAACAAGCAAGCCTAAACCAGACGTCTTGAAGAATGTGCCAGAGAAGCGTCCAGAAACTAAGATCGCCCTCGTTCCAAAAGTACCAGCAGCCCCGGTTCCTGAAAGAGTTCCTGTTATCCCGCTGAGTGACAGTCCTCCTCCTTCCCGCTGGAAGCCCGGCCAGAAACCCTGGAAGCCCTCCTACATTCACATCTCAGAAATCAAAGCTAAGGTTGCACCCAGTGGCTCTTCTGCTGCGGCACCGGCAGTGGAGGTGGCCTCAGAAAAAACTGTAGTTACACCAAAGTCCGTAACAGAAGACTCTCGAGGTGACAAGGAGCACATGTCCTCCCACCGTTCACACAGCAGGTCCTCCAGAAGCAAGTCCTACAGCCGCTCCAGGAGCAGGAGCTCCAGTAGGTCCAGGTCGAGATCATCTCATCGGTACGAGAGTAGGTCATCGTCCCACAATAGGTCAGACTCTGAAAATGACCAGAAGACAAGCAGCAGCGTAAATTCTTTATTAGACAAGGAGTGGAAAGACTACTACAGCTCTCTGAAGAGAATCCAGAACATGGACAAGTTTATTTCCCTCAGCAATGCAGAAGATGGACTTTCAGGGGTGGAGAAAGGAACGGGCAGTGAGAAGGGTCCGGACATCAGCAGCCCTTCGGAGAAAATCAAAGAGCGAAGCAGCTCACAGGAACCAGAGAACAAACATTTGGGTTCTCACTCAGTGGAGAACTTAAACAGCTGGTCTGAGTGGGACAGTGACAGCGAACAGGTGGGACAAGGCCCCAGCGCCACTTCAGAGTCACAGAAGCAGGAGGCGCTGTCCGGTCAAGTCCTGGATAAAAGGTCGTCTGGATGGAACTCGGACAGCGAGTCTGAGAAAGTAACCAGCCGGACGGTCGCTGCGTCCGAAAAAGAGGAGGGGGAGGCAAGTTCTGAGTCCGAACCCGAGAATCTGACAAAGACTCCGGACAAATACGTATCATATACGACCACTGCAGCTGTCTCCTCGTCTTCTGTCTCCCTATCTGGAAGTCCGGAGAAGGAGCCTGACAAGCACAAGAGTAAGAAGAAGGTCAAACGGAAGAAGAAGCACAAAAGGAGGAGTGAAGGCAAGAGCAGTTCTCGTCACAATAAAGACAAGGCCAAGAAAGCTAAGAGGAAACACCAGAAGCTGAGGGAGACGTTCCACTGGCAGCCGCCTTTAGAGGAGGAGGAGGAGGAGGACGCGGCCAAAAGGGAGAGGCGCAGTCCTGTTGGGGAAAATCCCTCCAGAGAGGAAGAAAGGAGTCAGCTGAGATCGAAGGAAACCAAATACACCAAACACTCCGACCCTCACCAGCAGGCTCTTCCATTCAGCGTCCCAGAGCAGGAGTCACTAGAAGATATGGACATTTGTACCCCGGAGCACAATGTGGATATTTTGGAAGCTCCAATCACACAGGAGTTTTCCAACAATGCTTCAGATTTAATCCTAAATCCTACCTCAAGGTCATCAGAAACTGCAACCGATCACAGAGTTTTACTTCAAAGCAGAGAAGCGTCTGCCCTGACCTCCTCATCCTCCGCTGAGCCACAAGGAGAAGCAGCCAAAGCTGCCATAAGCTTCAAATGGAGGCCTCTGAAAGGAACTCCGACTTCTCGGAATGTGAATGTGCCACCTGTCGCCATTAAGAATGCACAAGCCCAAGAGAGCCAGACCCTCAACACGCACGTAGTCAGGATGGAGATCAAGAGCAAAAGCCGGGTTCGACCGGGCTCCCTGTTCGACGAGGTTCGGAAAACCGCACGGCTCAACCAGAGGCCGAGAAACCAGGAGAGTTCCAGCGAGGAGGAGTCGCCATCTGTGGGAAAAACGGGGAACGCATCTCATACGCGCTCCCCGAAACAGTCCAGGTCTCAGACCAGAAAGTCTCACTCTGTCTCCAGTCAGGGGTCGCGCTCCAGAGGGTGGTCCCGCTCCTCCAGCAGGTCCAGGAGCAGATCTCGGAGCTACACCTACTCTTCCAGGTGAGAAGAGAAATCCACATTGTGTTTGAAAAAAACAACAACAATAACATATGTTAAATGCTTATTACGTGTTTCTGTCAGGAGCCGCAGCAGGAGTCGGAGGAGACACAGGAGGAGGCGCTCTCGCAGCAGCACGTATCGGAGTTACAGGTGCAAACACCTGGTCCAGTAGAACCAAATACCAGAGAAACTACTCGTCCTAAATACTTCCTCTCTTCTTTTCCCTCAGCCGGACGTACAGCAGAAGTCCGTCAAGAAGCCGCTCGTATGGTCGCCACAGGAGGTCACGGTCCGTGGAGCTCTAGACTCGGATTTGAATGTTCCCTTGTTTGAAGCTCCATTAGCACAAAATATAACGCTACATTTTAAAAATCGGAGCACCAGATGCAAAAATCATGTAAAACCAGATTTGTTTTCAGTATAATAAATAATAAAATGTGTTTAATGTGTGGAACTGTGCAGGTCGGATTCCTACGATAGCTATTCCAGTCGGAGTGTGAGCAGGAGGCGTGGGCGAAGCGACAGCTACAGGAGCTCGGAGCGCCGATCCCGGTAAGACAGTCGCGACCCACTCAGGTTCCACGCCAACTGATGGGGATTGTTTACATCCATCATGTTTTTACATCCTGGTGTCTGTCTGGAACAGGTCGTATCGCTCGTCCAGCCGCAGCTCCTCAAGGCGCAGGAGTCACAGTCGCAGCAGCCGGTACTCCTAAACCAGCGTGAAAAACCTCCTAGATCAGCAGCTGCAGGTCAGACGGGAGTCCTCGATACTCCTGTGTCACATGACGGAAAGAACATTAGGGGATGAAGATTTATGAATGTACACAAAGTGAATAAATTCTAAATAAAATGCTAGTTTAGTAAAAGATAAGCATCTTTCCTTGTTTTCCTTGTTTAGGAAATGTTGATTTGAAAGAAACATGTTTTGTTCTGTTGGTTTATTTTTAAGCCTCTGAATGTTGACGCAGTACTCAAAAGTAGAAAATCTCAAGATTTTATATTATGCTGTTCTGAACGTTTTCCTTTACGTAATAAAAAGCACATCTGCAGCTGTTTCTTTTGTCGCGTTTATCCCTGATTATCTACGTTAAATCTGATGTTAAAACCAAAGTGACACTTTACAGAACAAAGTTTCTGTTGTTTGCATGAATTTGAATCTGTCACAGGTAGAAGGTTGTTGTAGGACCCAAGTGCAGGAAATCCAGGAGCCAGGTAGCTTATAAATTTTAATGTTTATTATAAACGGGGTGTGGAGCAGGAGCCGCAAAAACACAAGGAACCGGCAGGAAACGCCAAACGGCTGGGTTTAAATACACCGAGGGTGTGAGTGGAGACAAAGGGAGCAGGTGCACTGATTACTGATGGGAATGACCAACAGGTGTGACTGGTTAAGCTGACCGGCGAGACCAGGGACACAGGATGTGACAACATCTGTGCGGATTTGTTTTAAAAATGATTAAATGCTATAAAAACAGTGACTGCAGGGGACAGGCTTCAACTAACATTTGCCTCTTGCACTATAAAATTTAATTTTCTTCAACTCTGACCGGTTTTCATTATTTAGAGACTGATGATGATTTGTGATTTCTTTTTATTTCTTTCCATTTATTAAAGGAAAATTGTCAAAGTTTTTTAAACTACAATTTTTTTCATAGCCATCCATCCATTTTCTTCCGCTTATCCGGAGTCGGGTCGCAGGGGCAGTAGCCTAAGTCGAGAGGCCCAGACTTCCCTTTCCCCAGCCACTTGCGCCAGCTCTTCCGGGGGAATCCCAAGGCGTTCCCTGGCCAGGTGAGAGACATAGTCCCTCCATCGTGTCCTGGGTCTACCTTTATGTCTCCTCCCAGTTGGACATGCCCGGAAAACCTCACCAGGGAGGCGTCGCATCCTGACCAGATGCCCGAGCCACCTCCACTGGCTCCTCTCGATGTGGAGGAGCAGCGAATCTACTCCGAGCCCCTCCCGGATGACTGAGCTCACCCTATCTCTAAAGGAGAGCCCAGCCACTCTGTGGAGAAAATTCTTTTTGGCCGCTTGTGTCTGCGATCTTGTTCTTTCGGTCACTACCCATTCATATTAATATGAAATACCTATAAAAATCATAGAAATGTGCATCTCTGACCTGTAAGCCAAGTATCTTGTTTATACTAAAATACTGTTGTGGAGTTTTAGTTTGCTCTAATATGAAACCGCTGGAGACTAGTTCAGCTTATGGCTCAACAACCAGCAAATGATGGTCTATTTTTTCTCGTTTGAGAAGAACTTCAAGTTCATGACTTTTAATGTTTCTGTAGTCATTTTCTCTGATGAAGCCCCATCTGATAGTCTGGAGAAGAAAAGGTGAGAACGCTACCATCAGACCGGTCTCATATCAGCCATAAACCATGGTAGCAAAACGCCAGCAGAAAGCAACCTCTTCCAACTATCTAAACCTGATATTGGGGGTTTTATTGGTGAAAACCTGTGCCATAAGGCTAAAGTGATTACTAAGTGGCTTAGGAAGGAAAATGGAGTGGTCAAGAGGTGGGTGGACAACTAAAAATCCAAATGACAAACTCCAAGTGTTGATTATGAAACAATTAGTTGCCATCAGTCAGGATTTGGAAATTAAGCAACAGCATGCCAGGGCGAATTGTAGAAGTCTTGAAAAAGAAAGACCAGCACTGTAAATATTGATCCTTTGCATAAATGTATTTTAATTGTCCATAAAAGCCTTTGAAATGTATAAAGTGCTCATTATTTTACTTCAATAAATCTCAGAACTATCTGATGACCCAAAAACAATGAAGTAGCAAACTAAAATTTGTAAAAACATTTGGCCATGACTGTACCTCTCTGGCATGGGAACACCTTAGGATTCATCGTGGAGCAGGAGCGTGCCACTCAAGAGGTGTGTCTGCATTTGCCTTTTGGACCTGAATCCTCCACTATCTGAAGAATTGGTGGATGAATTAACTTAATTGGCTAATTTAAGTCATTCTGGCTTTAAAGTAAAAATAACCCTGACCCTTATCCATCTTTTTAAAATTATCTTTAAATCATTTACATATATTTGACAGCATGTTTTTTTATTGTGTAGCTAATCCTTTATTGAATATGTGTCTGCCGCTCCTTTAAAGAGGACATATTATGCAAAACTCAACGTTTGCATCCTTTGTTGTGGTGATGTTGGTCTCTACTGCTTCTATAAACACTCCAAACACAAAAAAATCTGAAAAAAAGACAACATTTTAAAAGTTCCCATTTGTGATGTCACAAACAGGGGAAGTTGAATAGAATTACATCTCACTTGCAAGAAAGAGCTGATGCTAGAGAAGAGTGGCTCTACTCTGAGCCCCTCCAGGACATCAGCTTCTCATAGCAGCCTGAGCCGTGGATGGGTGGGCGTATCCAGCTCCAGCTCATTTCCTTAAAGTGACAGAACCCTGGAACAGTTTATTCTGGAAGGTACTGAAAATTTCTACAGTAGAATGACATTGCACTAAATCACTTTCTGTGAAAGTGATTTAGTGCAAAGAACTTCATTAACATGTTTTGTATCAACCTTAGAACTATCGTAACTTCAGAAATTCAAATAAAAAAATTCTAAACAGCAAAATTAGCTGTACTTTCTTCTTGTATTTGAAGGATGCGGACCATATGCATATACATACATACATACATACATACATACATACATACACACACACACACACACACACACACACACACACACACACACACACACATATATATATATATATATATATATATATATATATATATATATATATATATATATATATATATATATGAATGTATGTATGTATTACGATTTGTAAGTGGTTACTTTGATGTCTGGGTTTATTAAATGAATTTGGCTGTTTGTTGGATGTAATTTAACAAGTCATCAAATTCATGTCAACCACTCCGATATTTTCAGCAAAATTGAAAGTAGCTTACCAAAATAAAAGCAGGTTAAGAAATTCTCGATCTAACATACCAAGGTCTTTTTGATTGTGATTTTGTGTGAGTCTCTTTGGTCATGTGTTTTTTATTTATTTATGTGCAGATTACTGAATTGTGACACTCTTTTAATCTAACTTCAAAGGTACATCACTGTTCTTTTATTTTGTAACGTTACTTCCATTTCATAACAGGCACCACATTTATTTGATTTTCACATTAACATTACATATTTTTAGATTTGATTCCCACACATTCACATCGACACGCTTTACTTGCCAAATGCGGTCATATGTGGTGCAAATTTGCGTTAAACTGGGTTTGTGGCGCACGTAATGTGGGGTGCTGTTACGTAGGGGAAAAAAACAGGTGAACTCTTTGACCTCCGCACGTGTCTGCCCGCCGTCTCCGTCTGACGTCACGCTGTTCTAGGAGCTCACTGAGCGCCCGCAGACTTTGCGCCACATGTCATCGCGTCATCGCTGGGTGCTTTATTCCCAAATTATTCCTAAACATTTCCTTCATACAGAAGGAGATAAAAGCTCCTGAACGTGAACTGCACGTTTGTTTGTTTTCAAACAGAGCCGTGTCCCTTTAAACCCGTCTGACAAAAAAGCCCATGTGATCACAGAGCTCCAATCACCAATTCCTTCTGCAAAAGCAGCCTCTGCATTTTTCTGACTGAACGCTACAGCAACACTGGAGGGGCAAAGACAGATGAGAGGGCAGGAGAAATGTGAAAAAGGCTGAGGAAATGTGACAATCTAACGATCATTTTCATGGCGAGGGGGAAACTGGAGCGAAAGGAGTTATTCTGGGACTCCTTTGAGCCTCGAAACGCTGGATCAAAATGGTAGGCTGCAGGGCAGAGCTGCATTTTTTTCTGTTTATCTTTTTATGTCCCTTTCTTGATCTTTTGCGAATTTGAACGACTTCGCAGACCGACCAAACTTGTGCTCCATCCTCCCGAATCCTCTCCGCCGCCTGCCAGATGTGCATTTTGCGTCATTTATTTGCAGGGAAGTTTGTAACTTATCTACATGGAGCACAAGTTGGAAATCGAAGCTTGCCCCCAGAAGAATGCAGAGGCTACTGTTGCAGCTCTGGTGCACCGAAGGAGTTAAATTCTTTCATGTCAGGAGGAGTCAGGACGTTTCTGTACAAACCTCCAGGTCGTGACTGGTGCAAAATATGACAGGATGAGTGAAAGTGTTGCAGGTCAAGTTTGTTAGGAGGAGACATGCATGCACGAGGCATTTAGAGAGATGTCACACCTCTTGTTGGGGGAACTTTGATAGCACTTTGCATAAACAAGGAGCTTAAACTGTCCCATGCAAGAAAACATGGAAAGATTTCTGTTTTATTTCAAAATATATCAGATTTTGTCTCATTAACTCAAGTGGATAAGTAGAAGCCAGAATCCAAGATTATATTTAGCCTCCACATCACTGGGTAGAGAAGTCAGCTGTCTTTGGGTCATTTTGGGATGTCTCATTAGGAAAAGCATGTGGAGCTGGATGTAGCAGTGGAGCAGTAATCCCAGCGCTCACATCTGGAGGCTTGGGTTAATATCTGGGTCAGGTCAGCAGGGTTAGTCCTGGTGCTCGCTGGGTGGCTCCTGCTGGGAGCTAAGAGGAAACAGGGAGGTTTGGTGTTTTTGTTGGAGAAGCATGAGAGCAAACTGCTGCAAAGGTGGTGATCTTCTGATTGTTTCAGGTTCAGGAGCCCAGATAAAGAGAGATCAGTCCCAGATAATTCAGCAGTTAGAATCTATATCTGTAGAATTAACAAACTGTGGACATTTATGTGTTTTCTCAGGTTGATCAGCTGTCACGGCCATCTTTAATTAAATTTTGTGGCCGACCGATATGGTGTTTTTAAGGCCGATGCTGATTTTTAAAGAATTTTGTTGCCGATGTTGCCGATATATATACACGTTTTAGCAACACATTGATTGTGTGAGACAACAGAACACTCACTGTGTGCAATAGAAATGAAATAAGTCAATAAATCTATTAATATTTATTGAATTTCAAATATAAAGCAAACTCAAAACATCAAAAAACGGTGTGTTGGGGTCCTTTCTTCAGTCTAATAGTGGCGGCAGTTGGCCATACAGATGCCTGATTTTTAAAATAATTTTTACATTTTTTATTTATTTATTTATTTAAATGGCCATTATAGATAAAAAATGAACAAATCGGCCTCTAATTCAGTTGGCTCCAAAAGTTGTAGATGAGAACCTTAAATGATTGCTTCCTAAAAGTTTTATTAAAATCCATCCAGTGGTGGACCTGAATAGGCACCTGCCGTTTCAGAAAAATAAACACAAAAAGACTCAAAACAGACACAAAGTACATTCAAAAAAGCTACAGTGAGATACTAAATACATAGAAAAAAGTACATGTTTTATTATAGATGAGGAGATAAAGGCGTGAAATTAATTATTTGAGATAAACTTCCCAGAACACACTAAAATATCTTGAAAGAAATACCAAATTAGTCCAAATAAAAATACGCTTAAATGCATAGCTAATAAAATCTAATAAATATTCTCTAATAAAGTGAATGTTAGACATATCTCAAGCACAGACAGGTCAACAACATAAAACCATCCGATTGTCTAAAATGAGAGCAACCACAGAAAATAGCAAAAAAGAGCTCAAAATGAGGGTTAAAACATCACAAAAATACCCCAGAAAGAAACAAAATTTGCCCCAAAGAGCAACTAAGTAAATAGATGCCAAGTTTCCACGATCTGATGATGTAAATAGATCCAAAGGTTGAACACAAAAACCTAAAAAGGAAATTAAACTAAGAGAAGCATTTGTTCAGCGGCTGTTTTAGGGAGTCTGATCGTGAAACTTAGTGAATTTCTTCGGTCCTGTTCGGGAACACCTGCCTAGCTCCGTGTCGATCCTTTTCCGTAACCGCCCGTTCATTCCTCTTGACTTTGAGGCTTCGCTGTCTCTGGGAGCTGAGTGATGAAACCGACCCTAGTCTTTGTAAAACACTGCTGCCACTCCGGCGCCCCAGCAGAGACCTCTGGCTCATGATGGGAGCCAGCTCTGTTCTGAAACTCTGAAACTGGAGGTGCTGCTAATTTATGCCCCTGAGATTAAGAGCGGCGGACGAGGCCGTGCAGACGGCAAGGTCAAACTCACTGGGCTTATGTAAGGGCCTTTTTGTTTGTGTTGCAGCAGATGACAAGGAAGTGTAGGTAGTTTGTACACCATGGATAAACACACTTTGTTGTCTTTGTTCAGGAAGAAAAACACCTTTTAGGACTGTTGCTAATGAAAAAAAAATACATTTTTTAAGCCTTAATCAGAGATCTTGGACATGAAATAACATGGTTCAATTAAACAATCACGATTATTTAACACAGTTGCACTTTTAAGTTGGAAAACTATTCAGTTCACATTTTAAGGAGACTGCAGGGCCAGTTTTATGTCAGCAGGTGGCAGAGTTGTGCTGATTTGACAGAAATGTGGTATAAAATACCTTTCATGGACGTAATTTTTTTTGGGGGGGGGGGGGGGGGAGACATGTCCCCCCCACTTTTTCCAAAGTCAAGTTTTTACCATCCAAAAGCAAAATTACGCTATATTAAATAGACACTGGTTGAGCTCTAGGACCATGCGGAATCATTTGTGTTGAAGCCCATTTCCCACTAGAACATACTGTATAGATACAACCCCCCACACACACCTCTGGTCCTCATACTGGTTGTGCCCCCCCCCCCCCCCCCCACTTCTAAAGTTAAAATTACGTCCATGCTTTAGATGACAACTGTCATCCATCTATCCAATATCTGAACCAAGTCATCCTCGCTAAGATCGCAGAGAGTTGGTGTCTAACCCAAGCAATCGTTGGGCTAGTCAGTGGACATGTCTCTCCAGTCCATCTCAGGGACACGCAGAGACAACCACATACACAACTTATGTCAAACCAATATACATGTAGGAAAAATACGTCACCTCGTTTTCAGCAAAAACATGCTTACTCCACGCAGAAAGGCTTTTCGGACAGGAGTCAAACTGGCAACCTTGTTGCTGCTTGGCTGTCATAATAAACATAATTATGATTATTTAACATGGTTGCTTGTTAATTCAGAGTTCACATTTTTAGGAGACTACAGGCACAGACAGATTTATTACAAAAGGTAGCAGAGGTTTGCTGATTTGACGGCGGCGTGACTGATCGGTAAGACACTGCTGTTATAAAAGCAGAGAAGAGCAGCGATGCAAACCAGGATGTTTGTGTAGTGACTGAGTTAAAAAAAAGTAAATTCACAAAAGATTGTGCTTAGAAAAAGAACCGAGGAGAGATTCTGCTGGATGTGTGGCTGTCATAATGGAAAGAAGCGTTATTGTATTTTTTGACACATTTTTCAACACTGCTGTGTTTTGCTGTCATTCTGCCATCTCCACTTGCATGTATGGGTCACAAGACCGATGTGAGTTTAGCCTTTGCAAATGGAGGAAGTCATTAGGAAGGTCATCTAGAAGGAGCATTTGACAAAATATTCTTTGCATACAGGTGCTGGCCAGTAAATTAGAATATCATCAAAAGGTTGAAAATATTTCAGTAATTCCATTCAAAACGTGAAACTTGTACATTATATTCATGCAATGCACACAGACCAATGTATTTCCAATGTTCATTACATTTAAATTTGATATTCATAAGTGACAACTAATGAAAACTCCAAATTTGGTATCTCAAAAAATTAGAATATTCTGAAAAGGCTGAATATAGAAGACACCTGCTGCCACTCTAATCAGCTGATTTACTCAAAACACCTGCAAAGGCCTTTAAAAGGTCCCTCAGTCTTGTTTTGAAGGCACCACAATCATGGGGAAGACTTTTGACTTAACAGCTGTCCAAAAGACAATCATTGACACCTTGCACAAGGAGGGCAAGACACAAAAGGTGATTGCTAAAGAAGCTGGCTGTTCGCAGAGCTCTGTGTCCAAGCACATTAACAGACAGGCGAAGGGACGGAAAAAATGTGGTAGAAAAAAGTGTACAAGCTCTAGGGATAACCGCACCCTGCAGAGAATTGTGACGACAAACCCATTCAAAAATGTGGGGGAGATCCACAAAGAGTGGACTGCAGCTGGAGTCAGCGCTTCAAGAACCACCACGAGGAGACTCATGAAAGACATGGGATTCAGGTGTCGCATTCCGTGTGTCAAGCCACTCTTGAACAAGAAACAGCGCAAGAAGCGTCTCGCCTGGGCCAAGGACAAAAAGGACTGGACTGATGCTGAGTGGTCCAAAGTTATGTTTTCTGATGAAAGCAAGTTCTGCATTTCCTTTGGAAATCAAGGACCCAGAGTCTGGAGGAAGAGCGGAGAAGCACAGAATCCACGTTGCATGAGGTCCAGTGTAAAGTTTCCACCGTCAGTGATGGTGTGGGGTGCCATGTCATCTGCCGGTGTTGGCCCACTCTGTTTCCTGAGGTCCAGGGTCAATGCAGCCGTCTACCAGGAAGTTTTAGAGCACTTCATGCTTCCTGCTGCTGACCAACTTTATGGGGATGCAGACTTCACCTTTCAACAGGACTTGGCACCTGCACACAGTGCCAAAACCACCAGCACCTGTTTCAAGGACCATGGTATCCCTGTCCTTGATTGGCCAGCAAACTCGCCTGACCTTAACCCCATAGAAAATCTATGGGGTATTGTGAAGCGGAGGATGCAATACGCTAGACCCAACAATGCAGAGGAGCTGAAGACGACTATCAGAGCAACCTGGGCTCTCATAACACCTGAGCAGTGCCACAGACTGATCGAGTCCATGCCACGCCGCATTACTGCAGTTATTGAGGCAAAAGGAGCCCCGACT